AAGCTTTGAAGGTAAGAAAGATATGACACTAGTGCATGAATGCATTTCATTTTGTATGTTTTTTTTTCTTAGTCTTGTCTGTTTTGCTCCAAAGCTGGAGATGGAGAGACGGGAGGCAGAGCTTCGGGCCAAAAGGGAAGAAGAGGAGAGGAAGCGTTTGGAAGAGGCTCTGCGTGCGAGACAAGAGGAAGAGAGGAAGCGTTTAGAGGAAGAAGAGCTGGCACGACGCAAGCAGGTCAGGAGACAACAAAAAATATGCTGTCGACATCAGGCACAAAAAACCCAAAAACATGTAAAAATCAGGCTGGAAAAAAAGCAGTGAATGAAAGGATTTTTTTCTATTAGTAGGAATTTATTTTATTTAAGCACACAAGGCACTTTTCATTCCTGGAACACTGTGCTTTGTGTTTACATAAATGATAATTGTTAAATCGGCCTTAAGTATTGACTGCTTTGTTCGGTCATGTAAAAAAAAAAGTGTTTATTGTTTTGTAGTAGGGATGTCTAAAACTACACAGAAAATTGTTGCATCATTGAAATGGCAATGTGCACATTGAATTCTGCAATAGTCCCATCGCAGGATGTTTAATTCCTAGTAGTGATCAAGCACCATGTTTCGAAAATAATTTAATTTCTGTTTTTTTATATTAGAATATGCAAGTAGTGCACAAAATGGGATCACATACAAAGAAAACAAAACCAACAACAAAAACATGAAAAAACAATGTTTGTGTGTGCGTGTATATAAAGGTAACTAGGTGGATGATCAGAGTACACACATGAGGGCAAAAAATAAACAAAAAAATTATATATATATATATATATATATATATATATATATATATATATATATATATATATATATATATATATATATATATATATATATATATATATTTTTTTTTTTTTTTTTTCCCTCTTGTGTGTACTCTGATATAAATATATACATAAACAACATGGATAACTCATTAAATGTAGCAAATAGCACAGATATAAATAAAAAAGGTTAAGAAAAGATATCAGGGTTTAATTTGCAGAGACCCGCTCAGCTGTCAGTAGAGGTGGTGGCTTGGTGGTGTTTGACAAGGTGCGTGCGACGTGTCTGAAGAGTGAGGAGAGATACGGTGGGGAGGGATGAGAATGGTGCGCGACGTAGCCTATTTGAGGACCGGGAGGGAGACGCGAGATTACCGGGAGATTATTACTCGTTTGCGGGCATCCGGGAGACTGGCGAAACTTCCCGCCATACTCATAATTCTCTCTTCATATCTTCGATCTCGGAACGATTGATTTTGCACGGATCCTAGAGCAATTGCTGGTTTCTTATATGCCAAACAAACCGTGCTAACTGGGCAAACAAGACCCAAACAAAAGTGTTGATGCGAAAGCACCCTAAGCCAAAGGAGAATGAATGAATGAATGATATTACTTAGAGCATTACTGGTCAACATAGTCAATGAAAGGGTGGCATATTTAAAGAACTGTTTAATCCGAGTTATTTTAATGTTATCCATTGAGTGTAGCTTTTAGGCACTGTATCAAATTGGTGTTAGTGATAGAAACTCTGCCGCCAGCTCAAAGTATTGTTGCATATTTCCGCTTTGCTCAGTGGAGTTATTGGTGTTTTCTGTAGGAGGAGGCTCTGAAGAGACAGCGGGAGCAGGAGGAGGCGCAGCGGAGGAAAAAGGAAGAGGAGGAACGGTTAGCTCAGGAGGAGGCTCTCCGGCGACTGGAGGAGCGGAGGAGAGAAGAAGAGGAGAGGAGACAAAGGGAAGAATTCCTCCGCAAACAGGTAAGACCAAGCTTATGCATTCAATTGTTTTGCATTAAATAGTTTTAAAATCTGGTTTGGCTTTTGTCACATTCAAGGCATGGGTGAATAGTTGTTGCCAATACCAAGTTTACGAGAAAAAGGTTATGGTAACCCTTTACAATACTGATCCATTTACTAAGTTGAACAAGCAATGAACAATACATTTGCTACAGTATTTATTCATGTTTATTAACATTAGTTAATGAAAAAAGTTTTTCCTCACTAGTTCTTGCTAAAGGTTCACAAAACCCTGGAGTACTTTTTTACTCCTCCTGCCCTTTGCTCTCAGAGCTTCACGCCCTTTATCATGCATCTTTTGAAAAAATTCTGAGGTAGACTCGAACCGAAAGTGGGCCTTTTAAATTGGTACATTAACTAAACCATGTGTTTTAGGGTGCTTTCACACCTGCCTTATTTAGTTTGGTTGAATCGCACTAGAGTTCATTTTCCCTCTTGGTGCGGTTCGTTTGAGTCGGTATGAATGCAGCAATCATACACTAATGTGCACCAAAAGCCGACCAAAAAAGCATACCGAGACCTGCTTGAAGAGATGGTCTTGGTGCGGTTTCAAACGAACGCTGGAGAGGGTAAAACATTACCTGATGGATCATTGGTAATATTTTCGCAAGATGAGCATGTCGCAGTTTAGTTAAATGAATTCACGCATCCTCCTGAACTGATGTGTGATGCATTAAAACATTGTTTTCTAGCTGCGGCTGCGCTTCCTTCTCGAAATATATTGTTTGTCTAAAGCAGGGATCCAATCAGTCTGCGCAGTCGTCCCTCTATAGTAAAAAGCAACATTTTGTGTTAGCTTGTTTGTTTACTTGCGCGAGTCCATTGGCATTTTCCTGCACGTGAATTCTGACCAATCGATAAGCAATTTAGGAACTTTGTTCAACAACATCTGGCCAATGAGAGATGAGGACTTTGTCAGATGAGTACATTTGGGTTCTTTTTAACTAGTTGGGACCGAAGCCAGCAGTGTGGTGTGAAAACGAACCAAAGATGGCAGAAAATGCAACAATGTATCATTTATTGCCCTTGGTCCGGACTAAATGAAGCAAATTGCAGATGTGAAAGCACCCTTTCTACTTATTTTTAATAATGCCTTAAGAAATGTTAATAAACAACAAATTAATAACTTGATTGGTTTGGGACTTGTGGAGTTGTGCATCGATGGATTTGCTCTTCAGTGTCACTTTCAGCAGTGAAAATTAAACCACACTGAACTGAACTAAGCTTTGACACAATCTACATGGTAAAAGCGCTATTTAACAAAGATTAATTCATTTGAATTTAAATTCATTTACAAGGTTTGTTCATGTTAGTAAACGTATTAACTAATGAAATCTTAATGTAAAACGTGACTATGATAATTTAGTGATCACTTAATTGAATTAAGTTGATGAAAACGGTAACCATGTCAGTCTTTTAGCCTGCATTTACACTGCAGATCTTGATGGTCAATTCCGATTTTTTTGACTCTATCTGGAAAACCCTATTCAGATAGTATTGCTGCAAAACTCCTCTTACTCTAAAACACATTTTACTGGACTGTTCTGCTTTTACTGATTCCAGAAGACTTTTTTTATGAAATGAACTTTTAAGGACATTTTCAACAAAGTGAAGCCAGAAAAGATTTTAGAATTTTTAGAATCTTCTATTGATATATCGGCTTTTTTAAACCTTTAGGCATCTTAATGTAATGTCCATGGCGTGATTTATGCACGTGATGTATGCACTAGTTTTATATTAGATTATATTGGTTACATAGTGGACATTGCATTCTCTCATTCTCGTTAACATGCTTAAATACCAGTGCTATATGACAATATTAAAGCTGTTTAGGTCCTCGTTTATGAGATTTAAGGTTTGGGACTCTGCTGAAGTCTGTTCTGAAATGAAAGTGTCAGACTTGACGTCATTCACTATGGTTTTTAATGACGCTCGACTCACATTGACAGGTAGAAATCCGATCTACCTGCTTGCACAGCAGACACAAGAACACAGATCTGATTCATATTAGATAAATTTCCACATATGAACAAGGTCTGAATATGATTTGAGTTAATCGGAATCCATGTGATTTGTTCCTGCTTACATGTACTTGGGCCATATCCGATCTGTGCCACATGGGAGAAAAAAATCAGAATTGAGTCACTCGAACAGTGCAGTGTTAATGCAGCCATAAAGTGTATTATTTGAAAGCAAAACAATGGCTTTATTAATAATATTTTCATTATACTTTGTGTCATTAATAACCATAGTCCTTCATACAATTGGCAGCATTTAATATTTTTAAATTGATGTTATTAAATTCAGCAGGAAGAGGAGCGGAGGAAGCAGGAAGAACTGGAAGCTCAGAGGCGGCGTGAGGAAGAGAAGAGGCTGGAGGAGGAGGCTGCGGCCGCTGCAGCAGCACTGCTCAGACAACAGCAGGAGGAGCAGAAGAAGAGAGAGCAGGAGGCGCAGAGACAGCAGGAGCTGCAGAGACAGAGACAGCAGCAACAGGAGGCACTCCGACGACTCCAGCAGCAGCAGCAACAACAGCAGCTCGCACAAATGAAGGTGAACATCCTGCACACCATATATTTTCTTGCCATGTCATCTTGTAGCCTAATAATAATTATTTATTTTATTAGATTCCATCTTTAGATGGACTTTAGTACAAAATCTTTCTCGTTTCTCTTTCGGTTTCTTGTTAAACTGTTTTCCATTAAGGAGAGTACATTATAAGTCTACCTTTTTAAATTACCAAAATGAGAGCTCTTTAATATTTGTTTTTTACTCTGCTTTATGACATGACTGGATTCAAGGCCTTGAAAGCACTTAAAAACACAGATGCTTGAAAGTGCTTAAATTAAATTTGAAATCAAATTAGATTTTAGTGTTATTTCAACAGATGTCATGCTGCTGTCAAAAACAGAATGAAAATAAATAATTCTTAATTCCGCAATCTTAAATTAAAATCTTATACAAGAAATATGACAAATAATGCACATTAAAATATTTTATTTAGTTTACAGTGTAACCAATACAGTATTTCAGCTTATAAAGGCATACATTATTTTACTGCCAATTATTAATTTTTTTAAACAATATAGAAAGTAACTAAGCACAAATTAAATAATAGCAATAACGATAAAATAATAATGTAAACAATATTAATAACAAAATATACACAATTTGGTGAAAGTCAAATATACACCTAATAGTCAAACTCTATATTAAATCAAATTAAACCTTTGTTCTTATTTTGAAGAGGAGACTGTAACAGGAAGCTTACTGGTTATTAAATTGGAAAATGCATATCTTGCAGATTCAAAATAATAATAATGCACACTTTATAAATATTTCAGAAACCACATTTGAATATTACCATTTTTGATGATAGCTTAAAGTTTTATGAACTACCGTTTAATGCATCTGTCTTTTATTTTTTATGTTTTATTTATTTTTTGGAAAATGACATTCAAAAATCATTACACTGACACTTAATGTAAATACTGAAAGTGAAATATACACTTAGGACTTCCATGGCACTGCATATGCTGGGATGTGAATTACAATAGGGCTTGATTTCAAATTAACAGTGCTTTAAGTCCTTGAATCGACTATTTATGAAAGAGTGGGAACCTTGTTGTGAGTATGATGTTGTGTTTTATAGTTTAATACATGTATGGTTTAATATGTTTATAATAGTTTTAAGTATTTTAATTATTCGCCTAGAAATGAATAATCAAACCGTTATATCATGCTCGTTTTTCAGGGATTTTTATTTATATTGGTATAGGACAGTAGAGGTTTTACAGACAGGAAAGTGTGTGGAGCAGAGCAGGAGGATAGACAAAGGACCTTGAGCCGAGAATTGAACTCTGGTCACCGTGAGCACCACGGTGCTATGTGTCGACACACTAACCACTAGGCCAGGGGGTGTCCAAGCTCAGTCCTGGAGAGTTTAGCTCCAACCCTAATCAAACACATCTGATCCAGCTTATCAAGCTCTTACTAGATATACTAGACACTAAAGGCAAGTGTGTTGAAGCAAGTTGGAGCTAAACTCAGCAGGACACCGGCCTCCAGGACTGAGTTTGGACACCCCGGCACTAAGCTATTGGCACTGGCATAGTGCTAGTATTTTTTGCATAGTACTCAGAATATTATTTACATTTATATAAATGATTTTATTTAAATAAATGTGAAATTTTAGGTTTATAAATAAAATATGCAATAAATAAACTTTCTACTGCATATTAACAACTGCAATTTGATGATGATGATTATTGTTGTATAGTCATTGAATAACCAGCTTTACTTTTTTGCACTTTATCACAGACCTGATTATTTTACAGAAGAGAACGTGAAGAATAGCTGGTACATTACCTAAATATGTGGACTGATTGTGTTTGATATTTTCCTCCCTGTACGTTCTCAGCTACCTTCATCCTCAAAGTGGGGTCAGCAGTCGACCACAGCAAACAGTCTCTCACAGTCTCAAAATGCTCTTTCGCTCGCTGAGATCCAGAAACTGGAGGAGGAGAGAGAACGACAGACTCGAGAAGAGGTATAAAAAACATTCCTCTTCATCAACTCAAGCTGATGTTTTTTTTTTTTTTTTTTTATTCATCTCAGGAAGATATTAAAGTTATTTATGGTAGATCAAACTGAAAAATCATTTAATCTTTTAATATGACATATTTTAAGTTTGTATCATCTCTTATTGACATTTAAAGTTGTTGTCATATGTAATGTGTACATAATGCATCTTGCAATGAGTGTCAATAATCAAACAAATCATCAATTCAAGCTGACAAACCAGACAGAAGCCACAAACCATGAAAAGTAATCATAACAACGAAAATGGAGTAGGCTTGTTATGATACTGGAATTCGATAACAATCTGTACTGAAATTTCAAAAGCATTCATTTGTGCGCTGTTGAGTACTTACTTGAACATCGCTGATTTGCCATTGTGTTAACGGGCTCAACAGAAATGACTGATTGGCCATGAAGGTCATCAGTTCACAGAACTCACCGCTGTTTACTGAGTGTAAAAACAGATACAGGGACACTGGAGCGTTATAAAGACACTTCGATCAGCTGGTTTGTCTATAAGCTGACCCAAGAGCGATCTGCTGATGAATCGCAGCTTTAAAATGCAGTGTCCCTGTATCTGTGGTTACATGCAGTAAACAGCGGTGAGTTCTGTGAACTGACGAACTTCACAGCCAATCAGTCATTTCTGTTGAGCATGTGAACACAATGGCAAATCAGCACCGTTTAAGAATGTGCTTAACAGCGCTCAAATTTTCGCAAGATATTTTTAACATTTCAGTACCATTTGTATTGAGTTTCAGCATTGTGACAACGTTAAAATGGAGCATCTTACTACTGTTATTATTGACACTTTTAATACAGTGTATGAATTACTGACAAACTTCGTATCATATAGTTTTCTGCTGGTTTCTAGGACATGTTGTCCTTTTTGAAAACGAACAAGTTGAAATGAAGTTGCAAAAATGGCTCTTAAAGGAAGAAATAGAGCTCAAAATCCCACCTTCAGACTAGGGCTGGGCCGATAGATGATGCCATCGTCCATCGCCGATGGTCAATAGACAGCACGATGCTGAGCCGGCATCGCCGATCCTCTTTCCCGCCCCCGTCGCAAACCGGCTTGTGAAATTACACGCTTGTGCCCTGTTTACACTAATACGTCTTAGTGTTAAAATGGCATTTTAGAATGAAAATGATCCACATCCACACCGTGTTTTACCTAGCATTTCTGCACAGCCCTCTGTCCACTGAAAACGCACATCATGTGACCACACACATACAGCCGCACACTGTCATGCGCTCGTCTGAGCTCCAGAGAGCAGTAACACGTCGGACAGTTTATCAAGGATGTACCGCTGGATCGTGTCTCACTATAGTTGTTAAACATGATATTCAGACATCCCAAGTCTCCCGGAATTTCCGGGAGTCTCTATGCATTTGCAGGACTCATAATGGCTGATTCATGAAAATCATGCTGTTCTTTTAACTCCAAACATGTCCAAACATATCCCAACACATGTCCAAACATATCCCAGATACCGTATTGGACACACTAGACTCACTAGACCTATTTTTATGTTGTCAGACAAGAATTTTTATCTGGATAGACTTTGAATAAATTTCAAATGTGAATTTTTTTTTTTTTTTTATCAAAAGTAAATCCTAAACTGGTTTAGATTTTTTTTAATCTTGTTTAATGTGTTGTTTATTGTTATTGATGTATTTTAATGTTATAAATATTTTTATTATAGAATTTTTTTATTATAGAATAGTATTTGCCATGAACTAGCCAGAGAAGCTGGCACTTAACTCAAAACTCTCTCTATTTTCATAACACAGATCTAACTTTTCCTTTATCTCTGTTGATTGTTTCTGCAGCAGAGACGTCAGCAGCAGGAGCTCCAGCGGGTCCAGCAGCAGCAGCCTCAGACCAAGCTCCCTGGCTGGGGCAGTGTGGCTAAGCAGCCCATGGCCACTAAATCCCTGTTGGAGATCCAGAGAGAGGAAGCACAGCAGATGAAGCAGCGGAAAGATCAGCAGCAGCAGCAACAACAACAACAACAACCACCTCCACAGCCTCAGCCTCAGCAACATTCAACCAACACCCAGCAAAATCGCACACAAAACCGGGCGGTGAGTGACTTACACATCCTCTGATCAAGCCTGCATCGATGTACACTCAAAATGCTGTCAGCAAAAGTTGTCTATCTAGAAAATGTCATGCCAGAGTTTTAAATATTCTAGGAAAAGATCTTAAATGGTCAAGTACAAGTCTTAATAGGGACCCTGGACCACATTTCCAGTCATAAATAGTCATTTTGTTTTAAAATTTAGATTAATATAGATAATAATTGAATATTTTTAACAACACATTTAGGAATATTAGGATTTTTTTCAACCGCTTTATTCAACATTACTCAGGCAAATAGTTTAAATAGTCAAAAGCAAAAATATTTAAATAAAATATCTGATCTCCAAAAATAAAATAAAACATATGTTAGAGACTCTTAAACTTAATAAATAAAATGTTACAAAGTGTGTGCAATGGTGAAGGTAGGTCAACATCTGTAAAGTGTGAATAATAATGTTACAGTAAACCTCAAACTCTGTAAACAAAACAAATTATGACTATCAAATCTGAGCTTTCAAGTAAAAGAACTAACTATCATTATTCAAATACATATTGCAACATTACCAATTCTGAAGTTGTATGATGAATATATGAGTATAATGAAGTTGACTACATTACCTCTATGCTAAAAAACGTTCAGATGGCAGAGCTAGTGGCTGGGATGCACAAGAAAAGAAACCAAAAAGCCATTCTGCCGACATCCTTGCATCGTTTTTATTTACAATTTCTTTACTGCTGCTAGCCATGGCACTCATTTTTGCATGTGTTGTTATTCTGACCTGAAGTGACAAGCGCATGTGCCTGGATTCCTTGACCTTTTACAATGAGCTTTGCGCTCTCGCTCCCCTGGCGTCTCTCATAACTAGGCAATCATTAAACATTTTCTCAGAGGATGACAAATGAACAAACAATGGCTGTGGTTTCGATACAAGTTTATGAAGAAAAGTAAAAACCGCTGCTGTGTTTGTCAGAGGTAATTAGCCTGCCGTTATTACTAAAATGTGTTTATTCTGTACAAAGTGTGGAGCAGATCGGTTAAATTGCGGTGCCTTCATGGCATTCGGAAAAGTTAAGATGTTTTCACCTAGGTGCGGCTGGAAAATGTGTGCGGTTCACGACATGTGCTCGCCGCTTGCACAACATTCCTCCTTTGGAAATGACAAACTTACACCCTAAGCTTATTGGCATTGCTTCCAAGATGTGCACTTAGCAGTTTTAATAAACTATAGCTACATACACAATCTTTTTTTTATTTTTTTTTTATCGTTATTGACAATGGTGTTCGGTCAATAAATATCGATATAGATTTGATCGCCCAGCCCTACTTTCTATTGGTCTATGGTTTGTTAGGAGTGGATAAAATACAGCTAATCTGGAGTTAGATGGTTCAAAATACTAACAAAATCACCTTATTATTATTATTCCAATCCAATTATTTAAATTGGATTCAAAATCTAAAATGTCTTCATGGAAGATGAATTAATATTCAAATGATTTCTAGAAATGAAATAAATAAATGTAATTTTGACTTTAATAAAATGTTGATGTATAATTTTGACTACAATAATATACAACAAATGTTCCTGTGGACTGTTCACTCATTCTAAATTGACTTCATGTGCTTCATTTTGCCCTTCACTTTTTAAAAAACTATTTGAGTTTATTTGTTCTGTTGAACACAAAAGAAGATATTTTAAAAAAATGATGCTGGGTTTCCCATCGACTTTATAGTATTTGTTTTTCTACTACTGAAGTAGATTGTGGTTTAGCAACCACTGTTCTTCAAAATATCTTTTGTGTTCAACAGAAAAGAGAAATTCATAAAGGTTTAAAACCACATGAGGAACAGTAAACAATGAGGTATTTTTCTTTTTTAGGTGAACTATCTCTTTAAGAAGATTTACATTTTTAGGTAGAAAAACCAGTCAAGCTTTGATATTGAAAAAGTTGCATTGTTGCACGTTATAATAGCTAATTGTAAAACAGTTTTTCCTTAAACAGTGACTTTCTCCTGTCAAGTAAATGTGATACTTTGAGTTTTGTTCACAAACTGTTTTACAGAGGATATTTTTGTGTTGGAACGCTTAAGATGTAATGAGATGTGTGATGTTAGTTTATTTAGTACTCTAACTGGCCTTACAGAGGAAGCAGTGATCATGTTCACTGCTACACGTACTGAGATATCTATACAGTGATCTGCCACCACATCAAAGACCACCAAAACTGTTTATTGTTAGAATTTCCTGATCAAGATGAGACAGTTTCATCTCAGCACAAACCCCAAAATAAAATACTCATTTGGGGAGGGGCTAGGTAGCATTAAAACAGACACAAGGCTAGTAGTGTTTTTATTTTTTAGAGATATAGAAGCTCACGTATCAGTTAAAGTAGTGACAATGGAGAGAACGAATCATTAAACAGAGCTCTTAAAGTTTAAAAAGTTGAAAAGTCGATTTAGTTGCGCCAATTTTAAGGCCCTTAAAAAGTCTTAAATGCTATTTTACATTCATATTTCTATGAATATACTAATGTTTGCCTGAATATAAACTGTGAATACTGAAAAGCTGTTTAGTTCATGAAATTGATAAAATCCTGCTAGATTTGACATCATGCTGCTTTGTTTACTGCCGTAACCAGGGAAATGCTGTTATTTTTCCTGTTGTAGGCGCCACTTGCTGGATTTTCATTTTAATTTAGTTTATGCATAATGTTTTAGTTTAGGATTAGTTTCTTACAATGAGTATTTAGTAATTATAATGCAAGTTAAATTGGCGCCAATGTTACCGATTGTAGTCTAAAGGCTGGTTTATACTCTTTTGCGTCCGCTAGTTTGCTTGTGTGCACAGCGATTGTGACATCATCAGGTGTTTGCGGAGGTTTGCTTTGGGTGTGTGTGACATGACTTCAGCTGGAGGAGCACACAAAGATTTTTGAGACTCGAGCGAACAGTGTGCCGCATTATTTGATTCGAGTTAAATATGAAACACTTTGAAGAGATTTTGTCTGTAACAGGTACGTCTGTACAGACATCTTTTTGATCCGTCCAAGCATGATCATAGGGATAACCAGATGGCCAATCATTTGGCTAGAAATTGCAATAGTCAAAGTTTTTGTAAAAAAGTTTTGAAAAACTTTGGGGATCAGTTTGGGGGATCAAACAAAAAGAGAGGCCATGGCAAAAGTGGAGATCCAGAATGTTTTTTCACCATTCATAGGTTTTTCACTGATGTGTATATATTACAATTTTACCTTTTAAAACTATTTAATAGTTACAAAACTAAAATGAATTAACAAATTATCTATTTAATAACTGGAAAAGAATATTTGAACCTAACTTAAAAAAAAAAAAAAAAACGTCTGTATATTTTAATGTGTACTTTTTTTTTTACTTCTTGCCATAATAAAAAAAATCAGTTTGAAGAGCAACCCATGTTCTATTGTCATTTATATTTTAATAAACTTTAATAGACTGTCCGAGATATGAACAAAAGCAAGTTATTCCTCAAAGTTTGATTTAAAAAAACATCTTGAATGGTTATAAAAATCTTTATAATCATTAAAACAATTCATAAAAATTATTAGTTAATTTTTTAACGATATTAATGATATGTAGTTCTGGAAACTTCTTGGAAACTATGTTTATCGTCTGATTTTACAGTGAGTTCCACTTGACGTTCCATGACGTGGCACCAGGCAAAAGTATAAATCAGCCTTAAAGTAATGATGAGGAAAACAAAAATGTAAAATGATTTAAACAAATTAACACAAACGTAATCAACAAAACATCAATACGAGAAAAGCAAGCATACACAAATCCACAAATAACTGTGCGTTCACACTGAAAGCAGCGTGAGCGTCAAAGTTCTCTCTGGCCACCCTGGAGACAACTCTGTCTGCCTTCAGCTTTGACAGCAAGAGCACTGTCAATTTGCTACATTGATCTCGTATTTAAAGGGGCCGTTGCAGCAAATTACTTGTATTCCTGCATTAAAAGCATGCTTTCTAGCATGAAAATATTGCATGTTTTTTTTTTTTTTTTTTTTCATAAATTCATTTAACCATGGTAGATCAAGTTGTTGCATGTGGTGTGGCTTTGCTCCACTTATCCAATATGTGTCCATATGTCTGAAATATTCTGAAGCAGCAATACCGTTACTGGTTTGTATTGTCCTTATAGTTAGCATGAGATTTCCTCTAAAAAAAAACAAATAACATTAATGGACATCAACTCGCCAGTAACGTCATGTAAGAAAACATCATAAATAATTGGAAATACGATGACCGCAATAATCAAACCCATGGGAACAACTGTGATCGGAACCAAAGTTTACAGCACTGTTCTCTGGAATCTACATCTATATTTTGATTGCTTCCCGCTGAACTGTGTCATAGCTCATTTTCATAAAGTTGACTTGATTTCAACGTTCCCCGAAGCCACGGCGCACCGATTCTTGTCGCTGGCTTCTATTGAAAAGGAATGAGTTCTGGCTACTTTGACACTCTCGCCGCCTTGTGTGAACGCACTGTAAGAATAAAGCTTGACCATAGCAAAATCAAATCCCATTACATCACTTAGGATTGGATTATGTTTCTGATTTGTTTATTTTCAGTAATTGCATAACCTCTCTTTTTCCATCTATTAAGGTTTATTTGTGTAGTGTTCATACCAGTAATTTTCATTTCAAAGCAGCTTTACGAAAAGGTGCACATTATTACAACATTGCAGTCCAAATTAGAAAAGTTAAGGAGTTGTGTTTAGGTTGAATGGTATATAAACATAGTTGACCTGTAGTTATACAGTATATGGACCATCATATCATACTATATCATAACATGTAACAAGAAGCAATTCAGTTATAACTTAATGTTAAACCAGTTATAATAACATTATTTATCAATATGTGGCTCTTTTTGGATTCTTAGAAGCTATAGAAATTGAAAATGTAAAACAGGAAGTACGTTGGGACCATTGTTTTCGATTACATCCCTCAAAAAAGTCTATAGTGTCCTTCCAAAATGATGTTTATGTGTATAATACATGTTCAATAAAGTGTATTGCTTCTTATAGGCCATCAATACGTCAGTGTGGGGTTCTGTCAATAATGTGAGCTCAAACTGGATGATGGACAGCAGTGTATGGGGCGACACGCAGAACTCTAATATTGGCTTCTGGGATGAAGCAGTAAAGGAGGCCGCTCCACCTCAAACCACTCGCAAGAGCCACACTCCGAAAAACAAGGGCAACGCTAACCTCAGGTAAACCACTGTCACACGTTAATGTCCATGCTGCTCTAAAAGCTCATATCAAAAATATAATACCATTTGGTGCGGAAAAACAAATCAATGTTATTTGGTGACCTGTGTGTTGCAGTAATAGCAGCAGCGGTAAAGCCAGTAAAAAGGTGGAAGAGGAGGAGAAGCTACTGAAACTGTTCCAGGGAGCCAATAAGAACCAGGACGGCTTTATGCAGTGGTGTGAACAGACCCTGCACACTCTCAACACAGCCAATAACCTCGATGGTGAGGCTAGATCTTGGTTATTGGTTCATGGCTATGTTTAATGAAAAACAAATTTCCCACGTGTCCTGAAAGTGCTTGAATTTCAAACAAATGGATTTAAGACCTGGAAACTACTGGAAATTATCAAACATGGGTCCTTGAAAGTGCTTGAATTAAATTTGACATGAGATTTATGGCGTTATTTCAGTAATTGTGTTGTGTTGTGCTTTTGCGAAAAACAGATTTAAAAAGTGAAAATTCTTCATTTAAAACTCTTAAGTTTAAATCTTGTACAAGAACTATTGACAAGTAATGTACATTTTATCTGATTCAGAAACCACATTTGAAAATTACCAGTAATGAATTTAACACATTTTATTAATATTCCTTGCACATGACTAGGGGCCTAGGGTCACTGTACTCTAAATTTCAGCTGTTGCCAACAGCACGTCGTTTTAGGGTTCCTATATTTGCAGGACAAATAGAACCAGAAATTATTTTATAATGGTGGCCATTAGGTCATTAAATGAGTCCAGGGGGAAGGGGCATGTTTCTATATATTGATGTGTGGATGTTGTGTGGTAATATTTTTTTTTATGTGTACATGGAACTTCACCTGTGTTATGGTACCTTGTTGCAATTTTAGTTTCCCTAACGGGATAATAAAGCTGAGTCTGAGTCTGACTATTTTAAATGGTCAGCATTTTTGAAAATTTCAAAACATCATCATTACTCTGGCTTTTTAATGTAAATATTAAATCTATGTGAATTGAGTACAATAAGGACTTTCATGGTGCTACATATTCTGAGGGAATTTAAAAAAGGTATTCATTTGAAAATAATGGTGTTTCTAAAAGTTCTTGAAAGTCCTTGAATCTGCTGTTTGTGAAAGAGTGGGAACCCTGGAAATGGGACCCTGGAGCATCAAAGGAAGTCTTACGCCCCATTCACACGGGGCTTCAGCGTCAACGCATGACAGAGGGTGTGTCTGTAGTTGGGGCCGATGCGATCGTCATAGCAGCGTCAGTCAATGAAATTAGTCACCGTCTGAGCTGGTGTATTTGCATACAGCAATCTGATTTGCTGACGCTTCTGTCAGCGCTTGAAAAGTTGAGCAAGTCCCAACTTTTGCAACGAGCAACGCCTTTGAAATAGTGCCGACGGATCCACATTGCAGTTCGGCAACGCATGACGTCATCCTCTCAAAGTGAATGGGAAGCGTTGAAGCTGACGCCCCGTGTGAATGGGGCGTTATGTATGTAGGAATAGGCAAAAATACATTTTATGGGTCAAAAGGATCTTTTCTTTTATGCCAAAAGCTATTTTAAAATTAAAGAAAACCTTGGGATTCAAGACTTGTTTGACTTATGTATTGTAAATTGTGCCTCTTTATGAAATATGGTGCAAAAAACACAACTTTTACACACTTATTTTGGACCATGGGCACTGCCATTATTTTCGACTATGTAATTAAGTTTCTCTGCCTCTGCTGTTTCTATTGTCAATGCAGCACAACTGGAGAAACAAAATAATTATAAGATGCTACATTGTGCAGCTTTTGCTAGTCTTTTTTAGAATAGAGTTGTCACGATACTGGAATTTGATATCAGTCGGTACTGAAATTTTAAAAACGTCCATTTCTCCCTAACATTTGAGTGCTGTTGAGCACATTCTTAAACACAGCTGATTTGCCATTGTGTTCATATGCTCAACAGAAATGACTGTGATTGGCCGTGAAGGTCATCAGTTCACCGAGCTAACTGCTGTTTACTGAGTAATAATACATGGACACTGGAGCGTTTTAAAGTCATGTCAATCAGCTGTTGTATTCACAATATGTTTTTCTGAAAGTCATTAGTCTTCCTTTCTCATCACAGTTCCCACTTTTGCATCGTTCCTGAAGGAAGTGGACTCTCCGTATGAGGTGCACGATTATGTACGAGCTTATCTGGGTGACACTCCACAGGCCAAGGACTTCGCCAAGCAGTTCCTGGAGCGCCGTGCCAAACAGAACGACAACCAGCAGAAACCTCAGCAGGGCCAGCAACAAAAACAGCAGGTGGGTTTCATACATGTACAAAAGGCCAAAAACAATTATACATCGTTTATATCAGTTGTTTTTGTAGCAGCAACAAAGGTTGGCATTAGATACAAACAATTACAACAATCAGATTAACTGCCATAACAAACTTGCAGGTTCCAACTGAAAAAAAAAATCATCAGGTTAAAAAAATAATCAAGTATTTTATAAATCCTAAAATATTACAATTCAAAATATTACAAAGGTATTTCTCTAACGATATTGATAATAATCACGATAAATATTCATCTACTACATCTCTACTTAAATTATATCTATATTCTAATAAGCAGTGTGATTCATAGTATCATTGAGATCAACTTAACTAAAAACAAATTATTAAAACAAGTTATTATCATGTTGAAATGCACAAATTCTATAGCCTAATTACAATTGCTGTAAATGTAGTCCATGACTGCTTTAATACATAATGCATTTGTAACATAATAAAGTACATATGTAAAATACATATCTTCCAATCCTGTCATAATACTTGGGTGCACTTTCTGTTACAACTGTAAATCCAATGCTTCATGGCACATTGTTCAAGACATGAACTATAAATTAGCCTGTTGTTAGTGCGAATGGAACAGTACATGTGTTGTAAATGAGCAGTGTAGATTAATTCTGCTTATATACAGGGATATGATTCTCCCATATAAATATGGGTTTCTGTATTTGCTAAGCTCAATGGGGCGACCCCTGTAATTTGCAGAATTTATGGGGAGGTCTTAGTGAGGTTAATCGTGATCAAAGCAGAAGACCTGTTTGATGGTTTGCGCCTTTATTGTTTATCATTGTGCACAATAAGGAGCATTAACTGCTTCATTCCGGATGTCTTTCAGCTCTAATGATATTGTGTAGTCCTATAATGTGTGCACATTTATCCTCTGCAAGTCCTCTGTCCTGATGTCTTCATTTTCGTCTTCCTTTCCTTCTTTTTTTTGTCCTCAGCTATATTTTATGAATATTTACAAATGGTAGAATAAACAGTAAACATTTCAAAAAGCTGCAAATACATTAGCAAACAGTTAGCCTGTTAAAATAAATAGCTATTATAAATAAATTGAATAATATGATCAGATCTCAAAAACCTTTTCTTTATTGTATAACTTAAACATTATAGTTATCTCTCATTTAGATGTTTTGTTTGATCACATTAAATCACAGAGGCGTCACTTTTAAAATCCACACATTCATAATGAAAGCATTTGATTGCTTTCCTAACTGTTTATACTCATTTAAGACAACAATGGTTGTGTTTAAAAGAAAACCCACCAAGATCGACATGTTTAGATTTTGTTGTTGTTGTTGTTGTTGTTATTATTATTTGTTTATGTCTGTTCAAACACGCACTCAAAACCCAGTGTCCACTTTTTCTCCACTTCAAATTGCGTGTACAGAATCCATTTGGGAATCAGCGTCTATTTATCGTCCGATAGTCTTGTTTTGAGTATTGCATAGGAGGCGCAACGGTGCCTGTAATGGAAAGGAAGGGAATCCTGACATTTTTATATTTATTTTAAAGTGTTTTCATGCCTAAATAAAATGAAAGCACAGAACAGATTCACATTCGTAACCTAGTGGTTCGGCAATATGAACTGTGTAAAGGGAAGATCGGCTCTTTAATGTTTATTGCCACCCCTCATAGAAAGATTGAAAAAAAACCAAGAGAAATATGGGAAAATACCTTTATGGGGTTGAGAGCGGGATAGAATTGTAAAATACAGGAGAATCCCTGGAAAAACGGGAGGGTTAACAGGTATGGACTGATCACATGCCTGTATATATTCCACTTATTATATCCTTAACTTTGTTTTATTATAGGAAAGCTCTATTTGAAGAGTTATCGTTATCGTATATTGCATCAAAATTGCCAAAAACTACTGGAACTTTGTACGATTTTTTTCTGATGTAAGTACTTGTATTTTCAAATGATTTGAGGAATGTTCAAATCCAGAGAAATAAGCAGTTTTAACATGAGACGAGCGTACGCTGTCAATTTCCAATTTAGTTTTATAGATATAAGGGAAACACAGAAGACTTTAATATGCTTTGTGTGTGTTTTATTAGACTGCACAGAGCAGCATTATAACAGAAGCCTAAGATGTATTAAAAAATGAATAAAAGCTCTGCTGCTTTTGTGCCACATTATGTGCATGTTTGAGTGGTTTGTGCTGATCTGTCTGCAATTTTGTGTCAGGAGTCGGTGTGGGGAATAAGAGAAGTGCCACAGTCAGTCCTGCTTCAACAACAACAACAACAACAATTACAGCAGCAGCAACAGCAGCGGTTTGAAACGGTCACTTCCGGCAAGAAGAAGAAGAAACAGAAGATGGTACGAGCCGACCCAAGCCTTCTAGGTGAGTCATACATCAAGTTTAGAGGTTAAAACGTATTAGACAAATGACTCAACTGAGACTTTGAAATACTGTGACGTGAAGAGAAACTGATGAGTAAGCATGACTTCAGTCAAAACCAGACTAACAGATTGATGGGAAAAACCACATGAGCGTCTGGACCACCAACATCAATTAAAATACTCAAAAGGAAATAAAAAATCATATGAATATACAGTGCTCAGCATATATAAGTAAACCCCCCACAAATCTCTCATTTAAATTCATATTTTTTATAGAAAGCTATACAAAATTATATTTGTGCATATACATTAGATTAGTCCAGTGGTTCTCAAATTTTTTTCATCAAGTACCACCTCAGAAAAAAATTGTCTCTCCAAGTACCACCAAAATGAGCAGTATTGAAATACAGTAGCTAAGTAGGCCCAGTAAAGCAGCTACAACTCTGCACAGTTAAAAAATGTGGCAGATAAACTCAGAAATATAAGTTATATGTCATATATGGCATACTATATACATCATTTTTGATAAATTTTGAAATATATGTAGCATGTACGTGCCATATTTAATTCCTCCGCGTACCACTAGAAGGAAGCCCGCGTACCACTAGTGGTACACGTACCACAGTTTGAGAACCACTGGATTAGTCAGTACTGAAGCCAAACCTGGAGCTAATCTAACAGAATAATGATTTCAATGATTTTCAATGATTAGTAGCCCAAATTTATATCTTAGGGAAAAATAAAAAATGAAATTTCAAAAAATAGCAAAAATCTAAATAAGCAAAAAATACATACAATTGTTAAAACGTAGGTTGTAATTGTTTTTGCAATATTTTACATGAATGTAAGTGTTTTATCTTTCCATTTCTAAAGATGTCTGTGACTAAAATACTATTTTAACTAATTTATCTGTTTAATAAATCTGTTTTGTTTAAATGCATCTATATATATTACCCATATTCACTAAGAAATGGATACAAATATTAATTTTCAAAATAGGGTGTACTCATATATGCTAAGCAGTGTATTTATTATTTTTAGAAAATTGCATCGCCTGGATTATTTTTCAACATATAGTCTTCTAAATTTGTCTTTTTGTTAATTCATTTTATGTAAAACTTTATCTGTAAAATTAAAGAGTAACCAGCCGCAAGCTTATTAAAAGTTTAGCATATTTTGATGCCATTTTTAAATTTGCTGTAATTTTTTTGTTCAATTGTTTCATTAATGGTTTTGAATGTTTTAGTTTCATTTTTATTTTGTGAACATGTTTCTATTTAGTTTTTTATATGTGTAATTGTAGTTTAACAGTTAACAGAAAAGTCTCCTGTTGAACAAAGTAAAGCTTAGTGTTTGCACAGCTTCAACTCTTGTTCAAATGTCTGAGTAATAAAAGTAAAACTTTGAACAGACACTGAACTCAAAACCACACAAACGAAACTTCAATCTATAAAGATAAAAATGGTTAAGAATTCATAATAACAAATTCAAATAACAAATTCATAACAACAAGTGTCACACTTCATATTAAAGATCATGCATGTATTTAAATTTGCCTTGTTTACATTTTTTGGCAAATGAAGATAATGTATTTCTCTGTTTATAAAAAAAAAAACTTCAGGTATCTCTGAAATTCTAAATGCTTATTTTGGCAAAACAAATACAAAATAATGTAATTTTGCAAACTATTTAACTGTTGTTAGCTAATTAACTAATTAAAACTGTTAGTTTTAATTAATTAATTAATTTATTTATTTATTTATCAAATTTCTTTAACTGTAGTTTTAGTCTTGGTTTTAGTTTTTGTTTACTAAAATAACCTTGATTGGCAAGATGCCGTTGAATTGTTATGAAAAAATGCACACAGTGTAGGTGATAATGCTGCCACATTGTTTTTTTTCTTCCTATCATTCAAAAGCGGTGTAAATGGTTGTAATGTAAGATAGGGGTGTCAAAATGAATTGTTTGTTCGGGGCACCAAGATGCAGACGCTGACAAATGCGTATCGGTTCAGTAATAGAATCGGTTATTATGTATTGACGTCATTTACCTCTTAGGCGATATTTCGCCGTAGCTTAACTACTGGAAAATGAAGAAACATTTTACTTGCATTTTTGCATTTATTTGCATAATTTTACTGCCTGTGTTTGCTGGACAGTCTTTCACTGACACTTACAGCAGAAGCCTCTATTTTACTGCGATTGAGAAAATGAAAGTACACATTTCTCTCTCACTCTCACTGTGGCCCGTTTGACCTGCTTGCGGGTTTTTTCCTCTCCTCTCGGCTGTTACAGCAATACTTCTGGATCCAGACATGAGCGCATGTCTGCAGATTTTTCTCCACCGTGTCTATCATGGATCAGCTGTGATCGCTGCTGCCATATCAGTGTCACTCATCTGTGAAGTGCGTCAGCGCGTATTTAGCCAATTTCAAGAGCAGCACTTTCTGTTAAGAGTGTGACCAATCGGGATATTTATATTTGTTTATTTGCTATAAATGCTCATGTTGTTTAAAGGTACAATTTATATGTCTGACTGTTTTCATTAAAAGACAAAATTGTATTATAAATAGTATATAAATATATTTATACATTTTAATACAAGAATTGTTGTGCTGTGAAGAAAATTGAAAACTGTGTATGGAAAGCATCGTCAGTGCACTGAGATATCGAATTGAACTGAATCGATGGCATTATAATCGCAACCGAAACCGTAATACCAGTGTAGGTTCACACCTGTAATGTAAGATTTGTTTAGTCATTGTAATTACAATTTTGCACACATATTTTATTGTTGTTGTTTTTTTTACAGCAAAAAGTTACACTCCTGCTTTTTAAGGGTTTTTTTTGTCTCAAAGAGAAATCAGCATTGAAACGTGAGTCAGGTTAAAGTCATTAAATTACTCAAATGCATTACAATGAGGATTTGGAGAAGTGCTTTGTCCACACAAAAGCTAAAAAGATAAACATAAACCTTTTGCTGACAGCGATAAATGTTTGCGCCTGACGACAGGTGTTGATCTTTGGTTTCATTTTATAATAATGGACTTATTTTTCTATGAAGGTTTGAATGTTAAGAGTGTTTAAACAAGAGAAAAAAGTGTGAAAATGTTAAAGCCTATCTGAGAAAAGTGTAAAGTGAGGGGTTTCACAGCCTACAAACATCTATAATAATTGTAACTTCCTGGATTTGCCCTATTGTGGGTTATTTTTAAAACGTAACTCCCACAAGTCACGAAGCACGACTGTATTGTAAAACTCATGTTTTCTTTTTCACATGTGTGCAGGTTTTTCTGTCAATGCCTCCTCTGAGAGACTCAATATGGGCGAGATCGAGACGGTTGAAGACTTTTGAGAGCTGCTGATCTTCAGGCTCCCTCTACTGACTGTTTTCCTGCTCAACAGCTGCCCTCAGATTCCCCTCACTACCTTTTTTTTCTCCTTTTTTTTTTTTAAATCCTCAATTTCTGATTTGGAAGCTATTCGGGGCAGCAAGTTTTTCTTCCTCCCTAATCCAGAGGAAACCCCAGTTGCAATAACAGCGCTGCCCCACGGCCATGAAAATATCCCCAAAATAAAAATAAGAGAGCGAGGTTTGCTTCGGCAGGAGAGGAGATTCTGCTCGACATCATGCTCACGATTATCTCAGTCCCACGTTTCTTTAAGTGTCAATAGACGGAGCGCGGAGGAAGCATATTATGTATGGTCCCCATCATAACTTCCTTCATATTTTTTTTTTATTTATTGGTTCCTGCCCTCACTCTTTTAGCGTTTTCCGTTTTCTTCCCTCCTCTCCCGCTTTGCTGCCCCGGACGTCGACAAAACAAAATAAGACTCGAAGAAATGTCAAATGAACACGGTCCTGTTTTAAGGACATGTTTGAAAGTTCCAGACAGTTATCCATTTCTTTGTAAAATATTAGGCTGTTTAAAGAATAAACTTTCGATTCTGCATCTGTATTATAATATATGGAAATGATGAACCAGTGGAGTCATACTTTTTTTTTTATTATTATTATTGCAGTACGACAAATAAAACAAACAGTCTCTTGTGTGGGCTGTTCTGCACACTCTCGCGCATAATGCATAAAGCAGGCTTGTGCAAAGTCGAATGTTTGCCCAAGAGGGCTGTTTACAGTTATGCACCATGTAGATTTTCATGCTTATGACACACCTGTGGCTTTCCGAGGATTTGAACAGGGGGTAAACTGGAAATACCTATAGTTCTGGAGAGATGTGTCTAAAGCAGCTTCTCCAGACTGAAGTGTTTCAGAGGCTGTGTGTATATTTTAAGTGTGCAGTTAGATGGTCTTTAATAGTCGTATCCAGTAGTTATGAATAACTCTGATTCATTGCTGTATCAACCTGTTTGGATACTTTCTAAAATTGAAATGCTTTAGGAAACTGAAATAGGTATTTATTTATAAATCAACCAAACACATTGGTCAATTGACAATTCTAAGGAACAAACATGAAAGATTTTGTTTTTAAAATATATTTTAGTTGCAATTATTATTTATTTATTTGCAGATCATTAATGAATTTCCTAATGACACTGAAAATATTTGTGCACCATCATTGTTTTAAAAAAGGGAAATAGTTTACACTGATTTAGTTGGTGTAGAAGTCTAATGCTGAGTTCAGACTGCATGATTTTGTCCCTGATTTTGATTCACCGAGAAATCGCTGACAAATGACTGAAATCACAGGCAACGATGGGTCATCTCGTTCACGTGAGTAACAATCACACAGTATGAGCTATCAAAGACACGATCTGAGAGAAACGCAGAAGATTCTCCGACACCCGTCTGGTATCTGGACCTGTTGGCGATTCAAAGTCATGTCGTGTGAAATGTGTTCTGGTCATCAGCGATTACCCACAGCCAATGAGAGAGCAGCGCTCACTAGTATGGATATCTGCAGGCCAGCAGGAGGTTTGGGGAGAAGTTAAGGGCTTCTTTTCTGTCTATTTGGCCCAAGAAATGGAGGAAAAACTAGTGGAAATTTGGCAGGAGCACCGGTGTCTGATGTATCAATACCACAACCGGGTCAAAAAAGAAATAAAGTTGAGAAAAAATTGCTAATTCCCTTTATAGCCAGGTACGCAAATATGTACATTTTCTACCCCAATAAAGGTTTTTTTTTCTCATTATGCCGTTATTAACAAAAGATATATACTAGGTGACCTCAAGTTGTTTCCATGTCATTTCTTGCGTGCGTGTAGTTGTAAGATATATTTTGTGGACTGAGCAAATGTTGTCTGCGATTCTTCCTATTGTAAAGTCATGCTGTGCCGTCACTGATCCATCTTGCAGTATGAACACAGCAGTGATGAAATGCCATCCTGGATAGTGTAAAACATCTGTGATGCCTCTACTTTAAAAATCGTGCAGTCTGAACTTGGCATAAGAGTCAAAGCAACTGTTAAAATGCATTTTTACGTAATTGCTGCAAGACACAAAATCTGTTTGCATTGTGATCTTATGCAAATTCTTTATTTGATCATTTTATTTAAATTCAAAATTCAGACTAAAATATTGAAAAATGTTTTTGTGTGTGGGGAGAAAGGTAAAAAGCTCAGCAATTTAAAAGAAAAAATCTACTTTTAACCAAAAGTATGCATGCACGTACTTGTGGACCTGAATGACAAAAGCCGTCTTCTGTTGACCTGGGTTTATTTTTGGCAATAGACAGAAATGCGTTGTATGGCTCAAATTATTTTTGATTTATTTATATTGATTTATTTTAATTTATATAGCTATTTTTTTTTTCAAAAATATTTCAAAATAACGTAAAGCTCATGTTCCATGAAGATATCTTGTGAATTTCTTGCTTTAAATATCAAACTCAATATGCAATTAGAAATATGAGTTGTTAGGACTTCATTTCAACAGCTTTCTAAAATGGATTTTTTTTCTGATTTATTTATTTATTGATTGCACTTTTAGTTTTTTCAATCAGTGTAATCTCGGCTTTATATTGTCATGTTAACTAACCATACATCAATGCAACTTGTGTTCTCGGGTCACAAATGTGTTTTGTATGATATTTAATTGTTTTACCTCAGAGATAAGATTCATTTTTTATATATTAAATTATTTATATTATATTTATATATATATATATATATCTCTGAGACCCAAAGAATTTTTTTTTTCTGTAATATCCTACATCTTTTATGTTGAATTTTTGTTTTTTACAATTTAGAGTTTTTACATTTTGTTTTTATTTTTACAGTATGTCCACTGTAGTGGACCACAGGACCATTTTAGTTTGGAACAACCACCACTCAGACAACAAAACTTTACAGGATATGGCTGTAGAGGGATATTAATCCAATATTAATGTATTTTATATATATATATATATACACACACACACACACAGTTGAAGTCAGAATTATTAGCCCCCCTGAATTATTAACCTTTTTTCCCCTCATTTCTGTTTAATTGACAGATTTTGTCCAACACATTTCTAAACATAATAGTTTTAATAACTCATCTCTAATAACTGATTTACTTTGTCTTTGCCATGATGACAACATAATATCTGGCTAGATATTTTTCAAGACACTTATAAACACACTATACAGCTTAAAGTGACATTTAAAGGCTTCACTAGGTTAATTTGGCAGGTTAGGGTAATTAGACAAGTTAATCTATAACGATGGTTTGTTCTGTAGACTATTGAAAACAATATTGCTTAAAAGGGCTAATAGTTTTGACCTTAAAATGGTGTTTAAAAATTAAAAACTTTTTTTATATATTTTATTATAGCCAAAATAAAACAAATGAGACTTTCTCCTGAAGAAAAAATATTATCAGACATACTGTGAAAATGTCCATGCTCTGTTAAACATCATTTGGGAAATATTTAAAAAAGAAAAAAAAATTCTAATATTTAAAAAAAACAAAGGAAGGCTAATAATTCTGACTTAGTGTATGTATATATGTATGTATATAATATTTGAAGCGCTGAGTTTCAGATCGAATCCTAAAACACATTTGCAGCCAATCAGTAGTAAGGGGCGTGTCTAGTGGAAATATCTATATACTACTTATGGGTGCTCTCAATTATCATCATCATGTTGGCATTATTCCATGAGTGCACCTTTAATCAATCAAGTGTTTACATCGAGTAGATTGAGTGAAAGTTTACCATCATACTCATTCATCTGTTCTAAACTTTCCTTTAAGAAACATGCGTACGGCAACCAAATTCCCGTTGCGGTGTTGAAAAAGTCTCATCAAGGCTAAAGAGACCCTTCAGAAACTCTTCTGTGCAGCTCATGGTAATTTGTTCCTGTCTGGTGTTTATGGAGAGCGGGATCAGCATCTAAGACTAATATTGATATGACTATATACTCACTCACTGCCTTCAGAACTTCACTTTAGTTGAAAGCTTTAGTGACGGTGCATTTTTTAAGGTTTAAGTCTTATCTGATTACTTTATCCATGATTGTGTTTACAACATAACATCTACTACGGCTAAAATAAATAGAGGCACAATTTTTATATATAAGAAATGTGATTATGTACAGCATATACTAAAAAAAATTTTTTTTTGCTCCATTAAACTACTTATTTAAATTGAGCTGAAACGACACAGTTTTTGAGATTTCATTAGGACAACTTTTTTTTATTTTCAATCCACACAAAATTAAGTGTTACGGTAGCTTAATCAATTTGTGTTAGGACAGTGTTTTACCAGTGAACCAATGTTTTATGGCATATTCAGTCTAGTCCCATGAAAAAATGGTGAGATTATTATGAGGAGATTTATTATGAATTTGTACAAAGCCAAAAAAAATTTTTTTTTAAAAAAGAACACAAAAAAATTATTTGATCAATCCTGACAGCGTGTGTTTTAGGTCATTGTAAACTAAGTTAACCATGTTCTAATTTAGTTTTATAAGTTAAGCAAGTAGTTTTAAGTCAGTTTAACATTAAATAAGTTCACTGGACTCATAAGATTAATTAAATTCCGCTTAAAAATATAAGGCAGCCAGAATGTTTTTGACAATGTAGCTAAATTAATCATTACTGATGTGTATGAAATCATGATAGAAAATTCACAGACTCACATTAAAAGTGCCACATATTCAGCAGTAAAATCATTTGCTGTCATATTATTAAACTACTTTAGAAATACAAACTCCTTTATTTAGTCTTCATTATTTGACAATATCTTTAGAATCGTTGGATTTTACTGACTTTTTGGTTTGGATTTATTTAAAATACAAGTATGGTAAGTGCTTCGTATGATCACTTTAAAATATTTTACTTTTAAAAAGTCAGAATGTGTCATTTTTACATCAATTAAATATTACTCTGAAGGCCGATCTAATATTTTTTCACTCATATTTTGAGAAGTTATCTGAGAACAGGTGTCAAGCTCAGTTCCTGGAGGGCCGCAGCTCTGCACAGTTTTGTGCCAACCGTAATTAAACACATCTGATCAAACTAATTGAGCGCTTAGGCTTGTTTGATATCTATGTATTGAAGCAGGGCTGGAACTAAACTCTGCAGGGCTGCAGCCCTCCAGGAACCGAGCTTGACACCCCTGCTTTAAAGCAAACACTTGCATTTCATATACTTTGTCAGTATGTTTAATCTTTGTAAATGTGTACCGCAGTGAAATGTCCCATTCTATAATAATGGCCAGAGTTATTCAAAATGCCATTTTTGATGCTGTAAAATATTTCACTTTTCAACATTGTGTCCTTGTATATGTCTGATTTCCCAAAAATTACCAAACTGAATCATGTGCAGATTTCAGATGTCGTGATGCTTCAGATGGTTTGTTACACACATGAACACACACAAATTCTTGGATATTTTAACCCAAAAGTTGGGTTGGTTCATATTAACCCCAAAGTTGTGTTTGGATTTGGGTTTGTCCATATTTGACCAAACTTTAAGATAAGAGAGAGTTAACCCAAGAATTCTGTTATTAATTAATCGCCCTCATGTCTTTTTGTGGT